GGTCTTTCTCCGCAGAGCTCCTCTCCAGAAGGTCGGTCCCCAGCCTGTACTGGTGTCTGGGGTTATTCCTCCCCAGGTGCAGGACCTTGCACTTGGCCTTGTTGAATTACATGAGGTTTTTCACCGCCCAGTTGTCCAGTCTATCCAGGTCCCTCTGGATGGCAGTGCAGCCCTCTGGGGTGCCCCTCTTGGGCCCTCATGCCAACAAGCAGCCCCTTTTTTCCCGCCTGAGCCCTCTTTGATCGTAAGTGTTATAAATCTTGCTAAATTCTTTAAAAATAAGGATAAAGTAGCCCCAAACACTTTAATAAGACTGATTATTCATTTAAATATTTGGTTTTGTTCCATCAGAGTAACATGGCTTTACCATGTGCCCCAGAAAATGAGTGTTTTGTAGCCCTCCAAGTTTGTGCTTGAATTGCATGATACTGAGCGTGCACTGTGAGTGCAGAAGGGCACATTAAATCTAGTCCAACCCCCTGCCCTGCTCCAGCAGGGACACCTAGAGCCTGTGGCACAGGGCAGCATCCAGGCGGGTTTGGAAGATCTCCAGAGAAGGAGACTCCACCACCTCTCTGGGCAGCCTGTTCCAGGGTTCTGTCATCCTCACAGTAAAAAAGTTCTTCCTCACATGGAGATGGAACTTCCTGTGTTTTAATTTATACCCATTACCCCTTGTCCTGTCACTGGCCACCACCGAGAAGAGTTTGGCCCCATCCTCCCTACATTCACCCCTCAGGTTTTTATACATATTGATCAGATCTCCTCTCAGTGTTCTCTTCTCCAGACTAAACAGGCCCAGCTCGCTTAGTCTTTCCTCATAAGACAGATGCTCCAGTCCCTTAATCATCCTTGTTGCTCTATGCTGGACCCTCTCTAGAAGCTCAATGTCCTTCTTGTACTGGGGAGCCCAGAACTGCACCCAATACTCCAGGTGCGGCCTCACCAGAGCTGAGTTCAGGGGCAGGATCCCCTCCCTCAACCTGCTGGCAACACTCCTCCTGAGGCAGGCCAGGATCCCATTGGCCTTCTTGGCCACAAGGGCACATTGCTGCCTCACGGTTAATTTGTCAACCAGGACTCCCAAATCCCTCTCTGCATAGCTGCTTTCCAGCAGGTCAACCCCTAATATGTCCTGGTGCCGGGGGTTAATCCTCCCCAGGAGGTGACATGAGACTGCAAGGCCTGTTGGAATAGTGCTGGAGAACCAGAGAAGAAAGAGCTGGCATGGTTCCTACTATACTGCATATCAGAACTGGCTAGAGTAGCCTAGCCAGCCCCCTGCTTCTGGGTTTTGTGTGGGGAACAAAATGATCCCAGAAGCTCTCCATCTTGTGTTTGGTGTGGGTGACCAAGGGAACAAGAGGCAGGAACAAAATCTGTGATTCAGACTAACCCATGAGACGCCTTACATTCCAAAACTCTAATAAACAAACATGAACAAATAAACAAATGAACAAACAAAAAACCCACCGATATATCTACCTGAATTAAGACCGCTTAAATGACAGATGTCAAAATATAACTGCTAACAGAGAAGCAACACAAAATTTGGATGTTTTGCCTGGTCCTTCCAGAGGTATTAGGACTAGTGACGCTATGTTTTTATTACTGAACCAGGAGTGATATACATCAAGCACAGATAATAAAACAATAACAAAGGGGTAATAACTGTAGGAAAATCACAGAGCGTTTTATGCTGCTCAGGTCAGGGACCGTCACACTCAACACCCTCTGGCTTAAGTTACTGGTACAGATCCCAAGCTCTGTTTTAATAATCTGCTGAACTCTGATGGAACAAAAACAAACATTTAGATGTATAATCAATCTTATTAAAGTGTTTGGGACTATATCCTCATTCGATAGTTTTCATCAGTGCGTACAAAGGTAGATCCATCCTTGCTTATTCAGAACATCAGGATATCGTGACACTGGTGATGAAACCTGTCTCTTATCAAATGTACGGAGCTCACTGAAAAACAGATAGAGCTTGGAATTGCACGGAAGCCTCTCTGAAGAGTGCCCGCAATGACACTCTTGAGCTCACTTGCAGTGTTAAACGAACACCAGAAAGCACTCTGCTTGTTTCCCCTCTCCCCACCTTGTTTAACAGTATTTGATAGTGTTTATTGTTTTAGTTTTTATTTTGCTTTCTTTGCTAAACAATTCTTCCAACTGTTTTTTTTTCCTATGAACAATCATTTTGTTCCATCCAATTAAGGATGGAAAACTAATCTCATCTCTCTACAACTGAGAAGTGTCCAGTTGTTAATTTTTTCTAAATAGGCATTAGCAATTGCTCTTACATTTTGCTCTCCTCTGTCCTTATTTTATCTTTCTACTTCAGTATGCAGCATGATAAAATAAAAGGAAGAGCAACAAGGCAATTTCAGGGCAATAAATAAATAAATTAGCTGGATCTGGGAAACTGGTATTGGCATAAACTGGAAGAATCACCCCTCAGTTAGCTAAGCTATATATGTATACATAAGCTATACCTCCTTGATGCAAGCTGACATAGTTCCTTCCCCAAGCAGTACAGTTCAGGAATATTTCTCCCTCACCTGTCATTATTAAAGAGCTGTTGTCCTCAATTCAGCAACCAGTGCAGTAATTCCCATACACACAGCCCCAGACAAGGTCTGACATTCATTAATATACATGAGCTCTAAGATTCATCCTCCAATTGACCTAAATACATATCCACCTGTAGCGTATCAGGAATCTGAAAGGCAATCTCATATCCTAGAAGAGCTTTGAGAAATTAAGCAAATTTGGCCAATCACAACTGCACATTCTTTTCATAACTGTATAACGTTGGCAGTCACGGTAAATCCCAGCGGTCACACTACTGGGAGCCGGGGATGACTGGGGTCATCGCTGGGATTTGGAAAAGAAAAGCGGAATCACTGGAGGAGGTAACCCAGATATAAAACCATCAGGAAACATGGAAGTGTAATTGGAACATGAGCCTCATTTCAAGTTTCAGCACAACGATTCTTATTCCTTTGCTATTTGGTCCTATTTTCCTCCTGAGCTACCTCCACTTTTCCTGTGTTCTCCTTATCATTTCCCTCAAACTCTTGCCCACGTGTAGAAGAAAGAGAAGTAACACAGAAAAACCTCCATACAGGCAATTCTGGAATAATAGAGATTAGTGTTTTTAGTATTCTAGGGCTAAATTTTTTGGCTTTCATTCCTTAAGTAGCACTTACGCACCGTATGCTTTGAAAAAGGCTGTTTAAGCAACACAACATTCAGGAAGTCTATAGCAAAGGATGCGTACTCTAATCTGCCAACAGCTAGGCTGCTGCCCCACATAATTCACCTACTCATTTTATAGGCATTGCAAGTAAGCCTAAAATAAACATGTATCTGCACCATCTGTAGTCACACTCACAACTTCTCTCAAATTAGAAAAGCCATGGAATTTGATTTTTTTCCAAAACATTTTCATAACAAGTTGCAGACATTAATTTTTAAA